GTAGGGGCTGCTGGGCTGGGGTGAGATGTGGGGTGTGCTGGCTGGCCCTGCCCAGAGTAAAGCTACCCAGGACCCTCCCCCCTCGAGAGTGCCCAGTAGGATCCTCCTCCCATGCTTAGTCTGCTCCAGCCCCATCTCAGCCATGCCGCCTTCTCCAGGAGCCACTAGACTAAGACCAGACCAGAACATCCTCCCTGGCTCACAGCTGGCCTGGTCCATCCCAATTTAGATACCAGGGCCTTAACCTCAGTTCCCAGAAGCCCAGAGAGACCAAGCCTGAGGGGCATCTTCTGGGGCTGCAAGAGGGAGGACCCCACCCACTCCAGAGTCTCCAGGGCTCCTTGTTTTGCGAATTCAGCATCTACTTAAGCTCTGAGGGAGACTCAGTACCATGGTGAAACTGCCTAACCTACTCCCGGTCCAGCTGGGGAACCTGAGGCCTTGCCAGAATTAGTACAAGATGCACTCCTTAGCAGCAAAGGCTTCCCTGTTCAGTCTCTCTCCCTGATAAACGCCCCCCCACCCACACACGCGCACACACGGGCACTCCTGCCCGTCAGCCACACTCAAGAAAAGAGTTTTCTATTTTTTTGTGTTGTTTTTCATTTTTTTTTTTCTTAAAAAGGACTTATCCAAGTATCTGGATAATAAATCATTGGCGTTTCCTAAGAAACTGGGTTTTTCTTTTCCCTGTGGTTTTGGTGTATTTCTTCTTTACGCCTGACTAGTGGTCTGAAGCACTCTTTCTCTCCGTTTCCTGTCTCTTGGATGGGAGAAAGCAGTCTGTCTGAATTGTATCTGACTCTTCAAAGAGGAAAAGGGTATGGGGGCAGGAGGGGCTTCGGGAGGAGGGAGGAGTCAGTAACTGAGGAAGAAAACCAAGAAATGGACTAAAACCCACGGAGCCCAGAGGTTGCAGGGCTGAGGGGGAAGGATGGGGTGAGAGAGGGCTACCTCCTTGCCTCTCCAACTGCCTGCAGAGGCCTCAGTCCCATTCAATTCCCACACCTGCAGGGGTCTGAGGCCAGGAGAGAGACAGCAGGATGGAGGCGGAACACTGGGCCCTCTCTGCAACAGAGCACACACATTCTCTAAGGCTGGTCGTGGTCTGGGGGCCGGGGCTGGGGAGGAGGAGGGGGCAGCTCTGGCAGTGAGCTGGGGCAGCGGAGGCCGAATGTCCATCAGGAGGCTGCCCTGGGCCTCCCTGCACCTGCCTCCTGCCAGTCCCTGCCAGCCTGTGGTCCAGGTAGCTCAGCAGTCCCCATCGGTGGCCATGGCCACCAGCATCTCGCTCTTGCCCATCTCCTCCAAGGCACTCGCCAGGCTGTTGAGGTCTCCGTCGTCTTGCTGCAGAGCTTCCCAGAGGTCCAGGATCACACCCGTGGGGCTCGCTTTGGTGGCAAAGTAATTCAGGTACCTGGCGGAGGGAAGAAGGCTGCTGAACTCCCTGAGCTGGCACTCAGCACCTCCCAGGGCCTGGGGCTGGGGAGAAGATGGTGGGCTCTGGGGCCCCATGGGTCTGGGTCTGAGTCTCTGTCCCTATGTCTGTAGGCTACGCGGCTCTGGGGAAGTCAGTGCCTGTCTCCGAGCCTCAGTCTCCCATTTCTAAGATGGGAATGATGCCAGTTACCTCCCAGCGTTGCAGACAAGATCCAAGATGATCTAAAGGAAGGGCCAGCATTCTCTCTAGCATAAAGCCATCTTGTTCATCATCATCATTATAATCATTAGAAGACACCAGCACCAGGAGAGACTACCCAAGGCCAGCACACCGCTCTTTTCTCCCCTCCCCCAGCCTCTTCCCCTGCCTGGTCTCACCCCAGGGACTCCCGAGAGCAGGGATGGAGCCTCGGCCGTGTTTGTAAACCCTGCCTGGTTCTGGTAACGCACCCTCCTCGTGGCCTCTGTTCAATGCAGACTGACGAAACATACTTTCAATAAGTGCAATACTTATTACTATTGTCATGGTAGACCAACATTTGAAATTTACCAAACAAGTGGTTTTTTTTTTTTTTTTTTTTTTTTTTTTTTCTTAAAGAGTTTTTTTGTTTAGGGTA